ACACACACACACACACACACACACACACACACACAGACAAAGAATATACATTATACATTAACTCACTGAAATTGAGGCACAGACAGGTTAGTGGCTTGCTCAGGCTGCACAAGTAAGGGGCAGAGCTGGGATGTCAACCAAGGCAAACTGGCTCCAAAGTCCACTCATTTCACCACTGTGCTATACTCCCTCCCATAGGTCTTATCTAAATTTAGAGAGTCATGTAAGGGAAAAACAAAATTGAAATCTATTATAGTCAAAGCTGTTGTTGTTGTTAATTATCATTGCGTTGGTTCCGATTAATAGCAACCCTATCTATATACAACAGAATGGAACACTTCCCCATCCTGCACCATCCTCACAATTGTTGTTATGCTTAAGCCTATTGTTGCAGCCACTGTGTCAATCCATCTCGTTGAGAGTCTTCCTCTTTTTTGCTCACCCTCCACTTTACCAGGCATGATGTCTTTCTCCAGGGACTGGTCCCTCCTGATAACATGTCCAAAGTATGTGAGACAAAGTCTCACTATCCTAGCTTCTAAGGAGCGTTCTGGCTGTACTTCTTCCAAGACAGATTTGTTCGTTCTTCTGGCAGTCCATGGTATATTCAATATTCTTCGCCAACACTACAACTCAAAGGCGTCAACTCTTCTTCAGTCTTCCTTATTCATTGTCCAGCTTTCGCATGCATACGAGGTGATTGAAAATAGTGTGGCTTGGGTCAGGAGCACCTTAGTCCTCAAAGTGACAACTTTGCTTTTTAACACAGCTCTTAAAGCCAAAGACGACTTAACAATTAGGTTTGCTGCCTCTATTTATTATACCTGCTAAGACTTGTATTATGATTTGAGTTATTCATTTTGAACTTGTGATGTAATGGAATTTTCTTTTTCTATAACAGCAACGACATAAAGCAGACAAATTAATTAACATAAAGAAAATAGCAGGTAAGATATTAGATTGAACTTTAATGTTTTATTTATTTTTCTTTAATTTTTTTAAATTATACTTTAGATGAAGGTTTACAGAATAGATAGTTTCTTATTAATCAGTTAGTACATGTATTGTTTTATGACATTGGTTAACAACCCCACGACATGTCAACACTATCCCTTCTCGACCTTGGGTTCCCTATTACCAGCTTTCCTCCTGCCTTCTAGTCCTTGTCCCTGGGCTGCTGTGCCCCATTAGTCTTGTTTTGTTTTATGGGCCTGTCTAATCTTTGGCTGAGGGGTGAACTTTGGGAGTGAGTTCACTACTGAGCTAAAAGGGTGTCCGGGGGCCATACTCTTGGGGTTTCTCCAGTCTCTGTCAGGCCAGTAAATCTGGTCTTTTTTTGTGAGTTAGAGTTTCATTCTACGTTTTTCTCCAGCTCTATCGGGGACCCTCTGTTATGATCCTTGTCAGAGCAGTCAGTGGTGGTAGCTGGGCACCATCTAGCTGTACTGGACTCAGTGGAGGCTGTGGTAGTTGCAGTCCATTTGTAGACTGAACTTTTATCTTGCCTCTGTATAAGCAAAAATCAAAATTCACCAAGTTTTGTAATAATTAAAAAATGTTTTATGAAATAGTTAAAGAAATATAGAAACAAAGAACAAAAATCAGAAGGAAACTCAGTTTCCATATGTTAGCAGCAATAATTATGTTAATTAGAATAAAAGAAAAAAAATGAGGACGGATGATTCAGGATATGGACAATACTTATATCCATAAAAAGATATAAGTTTTACATGATTGGCTCGTGCTATCTCCCACTCTTCCAGTTTTGATATGTGTTATCTTTGTAATTGATTACAAATAGATTGTGTTGCTTTTCAGGCTATCAACCAGTATTTAAGTGCATAACAGCAAACTGTTTTCTCCTTAGGACTGGAAATGACTTAATATAGCGTCCATCCATCTATCTATCTGTCTATCTGTCTGTCTGTCTATCTATCATTATATTATGTTACACTATATTATCTATATTGCTGCAGTTTAGTACAGTGTATATGAATATAATTTATATACCCTTGCAGTGTATATAAAGGTTAAATAAAGATAACATTTTATAAAGAAATCTATTTATTTTTCAGGGAAAAGTTATCTTATCGTTTTGGAATTTACCTAATGCAATTCATATATAGCTGTTTCTTTTTCAGTGTTACGACATAATACATGGCAAATGATTATGTGGAAAGAGGTAAGAAAGCATTTTAAAGAGATTTCAGTTGCTGTAGTTCCCAGGGTTGATTTCATTCTAAAAGTTTGTGTTAAATTAGTGTTGAGGTCAACTATCATTTATATTAGATAATAGTTTTAAGTCTTAGATTTTTTATATACTTTACATAATTTGGATGTATATTCCTGTATCAATTCTGTATATTCTGAATTACTCCTGCATAATTTAAAACATATAGTGTATAGTATTATTCATATGTGAAATGAAGAAACACAAACAAATACAAAAAACAAACCAAAAACAGTAAAACAAAAACACAAAGTTAAATTTATTGCTTACTTAGATAAGAGAGTGCCTTGGAAGAAAAGCTTGTGATCTACTTCTGAAAAATCAGCCATTGAAAACCCTATGGACAGGTGGGAATGGAAAATGGTACAACCGCTGTGAAAAACAGTTTGCTGTTTGTTTAGAAACTTAAACATAGAACTACCTTATGACCAAGCAATTCCACTCCTAGGTATATACCCAAGAGACTTGAAAGCAGTGAAGCAACAGACAAATGTACACCAATGTTCATTGCAACACTGTTCACAGTAGCCAAATGGTGGAAACAACCTGAATGTCCATCGATGGATGAATGGATAAACAAACTGTGGTACATACACACAATGGAATACGCCTCATCCATAAAGAGAAATACAGTCCTGATACACGCTACTACATGGATGAAACTTGAAAGCATTATGCTGAGTGAAATAAGTCAATCACAAAAGGACAAATATTGTATGATCATCTAACTTACATGAAATAAAAGAAGAGACAAATGTGTAGGAACCAATGATTATTAGCAGTTACTAAGGGCAGGAAGGAGGAGGAAAGGAGAGCCATGGTTTGGGAAGGAGAGATTTTTGTTTATGGTGATGGGAAGGTTGTCAATGATAGATGATGGTTGCATGACATGAAAATATATATATATATATATATGTATACACACACACACACACACACACACACATATATATATACATATATATATATACATGTTTTTGTTGTTAGGTGTCCCTAGGATTTTCAGAATGGTAAACGAGTATTGGCTTCAACTTAAAGTCATCAGCTACATTAGCCCCTAACAAGAGAGTCAGCCTGTTCTTTGA